GACTGTGTTGACTGTACTGTGACGGTTATGACTGTATTGTGACTGTATTGCCTGTGCTGTGACTGTGTTTTGAGCTTTTAGACTGTGCTGTGACTGTGTTTTCACTGGCTGTACTGGGTTGTGACTGTTCTATGATTGGGCTGTGTTGTGATTGTGTTTAGACTGTGCTGTGACTGTTGTATGACTCTGACTGTGTTGTGGTTGTGTTGTGATGATGATGTGTCTGTGTGTGTGTGTTGTTGTTCCTGCAGGTGGAGCGTCTGCTGGAGAACTACATGCAGGATGTGGGCATCAGCGAGCAGCAGTTTCTGGAGGCCTGCTCCTCCTTCAGCAGCTCTGCATCTCTGCAGGTCAGCCTCTGCTGTTCCTCTGGATTACTGCGCTCCGATAATGAGGCTTAGAGTCACTGCACTGAAGCACAGCACTGATCTCATGGAGCCCGCGCACACACACACACACATGCGCACACACACACATGCGCACACACACACACACACATGCGCACACACACACATGCGCACACACACACCCACACATGCACACACACACACGCACACACACACACACACACACTGCTTAAAGCCAGCGCTGGTCCAGGCCTGCTCTCGTTACAGACCTACACACTCATCAATGTCCTGTTTTAAATCATTTCCTCATCACACTTCTTCATGCACCGTCACACTTTATTAATAAACACAGGCCATGAATATGCTAACTAGTCCCTACATAACACACACACACACACACACACACTCGGTCTGCAGGACAAACTCACACACACATGGGTTAAGGCTGTTGATGGAGATTAGAGAACTGGGTTAGTGAGTCAGTTCACATGTGCGACTGACCTGCACTGCAGTGTGTGTGTGTGTGTGTGTGTGTGTGTGTGTCCCATACAGCAGACGCATTCATCTACAGCTACAGATGAGGAGAAACAGCAGAGAACAGAGCAGTACTGACCAGTGCAGACGAGTGGAGTGTGTGTAATGTGATGTAAACAGTGTTCTCCTGTGTGTGTGTGTGTGTGTGTGTGTGTGTGTGT